CAAAAAAGAAAAAAAAAAAAAATTTCTTTGAATCTTAGCTTCCTGACTCTGAGGATTATTAGGGCACACTGATAGATATAAGGTGACATATATATATTTATATATATATATATATAGAGAGAGAGAGAGAGAGAGAGCCATATATATATATGTATATATAGTTCTCAAAGAGACTTGGGAGAGTAGATCTGAGATCATTATACTTTTTCTAGTGTCACGATTATTCTATAGTTTCTTTCTTTTAGTTATTTAGTGTTGAAGATCTTTTTCTACGTTTTTCTAATTGCTTAGGTGATGTCTCATATTAATGTCCTCCACCAAAGATCGATCTGGGTCTTTCTGGGGGTCATAGCAATTTAAAGTTTAGAAAGTTTTCAAAGGGTTCAACAGCATGCTTTCTATCATGCCTTTCTGGTTCCCTGAGAGCCAAAATCTTCATGTGTTTCATTTACAAGAAACGACCAATTACTTCCTTTTTGTGAAATTCTACCTACTTGACTTCTATAACATAGCAATCTCATTTTCATGTATTTGTCTGTCTCTTTTTCCCTTGGTAAACTTATGTTTCTCTGTCCAATCTTTAAACCTTGATGTCAGACAGGGGTCCGCTTTAGCCATTTACTCTCTATACCCACATATCTTCCCTGGGTCACCTCATCTACTCTCATAGTTTCAACAAACTTCTCTGGCTGGCAGTCTCAAATCTATACATTCCTAGACAACAGCATTGCTCTGAACTTCAGATTATATACTTAACTTTCAAATCAACATCTCTACTGACATAACACTTAGGCTCACCTCTCTACCAATCTGATTTCCCCTTTTCTATTCTCTATTTCTTTAGATGGCTTCACCACATGATCATCTTTCCAGCAACTCAGCTGAGAGATTAGGGACTCATATTTTTCTCTTCCATCACATATATTCAATCAAAAACCAAATTCTAGCAAGCTTATTTATTAATATTTATTAATTATTCCTGAATCTGTATCTTTCATTCACCCTCACCTTTTTTTTTTTTTAACCCCAGTCAGAACTTTTAGTGTTTTTTTTTAGGTCATGCAATGGCTCCCTACCTCTTCTCTCTGCTTATAGTTGCATCTTTCTTCAATCCAACTGTATATTTGGCAATGCCATTCTCTTACATTCTTCGGTGGCTTCTCCTATTCTTTAGGAAAAAGTGTTTCTTCCATATCATGGTACCATGGATCATTCTTGGTCCACCCTTTCCTGATCCGTTTGCTTCTCTAGGCACAGCTCTCATATCTTGTCACTTCTGACCACATGTTTTATTTTACTGTGAAAAAAATTCCTTCTTGTACTCTCTGCATGCGTGTACACACAGAGAAACACACGTATCACCACCACTACTGCCACCACCACCAACACCCCGTTCTGTTTTCTACATATTGTGACTTGGCTTATAATTTGCTCTTGGCATGGAGTCACCTTTTTTCCTCCTCCTTTTACCTTGACAACCGCCCACACATCTTTCCCTCACTGAATAAGCATCACTTAGTCCAGTAAATCAAAGCCAGGCTTTGTTAGGACTTCTCCATTCTGCTCCCTTATATCATATACATGTTTCTATCATTTACCGTATGCTAATGATATGTTTTGAATCAGCCTTACCCAAGTAAATTGCGAACACCTTGAGGTCAGTAGTCACATTATTCAATGTTAAAATCTCAGTATTTTCATATAGTCTGCCACATGATAGTGCCCAAGACCTTTATTGAATGAATAAATTAAATAAATAAATTTTAGTATTTACTAATTCACAGTGACCATGTACTTGTTTGTGCTTTTTTCTCATTTAATTGAAATAATTCAGACATGTTTCATCAGTATAAAATTCATATAATTGATCATCAGTATAAATTCATATAAAATTAACCATCATTAAAAAAATATGTCTAATCCATTTTAAGTTACTGTTTATGCAATCCATATGAATTTGTGTTTCAATTTCTACAATAATTTCAATTAAGGAAGTAAAGTTTAAATTTTCCAAAATAATATAAAAAAGGTTTTCAGTCTTTTGAAAAATATTCAAAGGGTGAAAGTCACAAGCCTTGATAACTCTCCACATACTGTCCTTAATTTCCTCTTATCTTTAATTTCTCACATCTCAAATTAGTCTTATCTGCTAAACTCCCCTAAAACACTCTCAACAGACATCTCTGGGGCGTTTCTCTTTATCCCTACTCCTCATTTATTTTTAATTAGATTGTCACTTAGCAAAATAGAATAATTCCAATTAAATAAGGAAGGGAAATAGAACAAGTAAGTGCTCAAACACCAACTTCACTTTAGCAGGAGGCAGTTAATGTTTTGGACTATCTCATCCTGATGATGGCTGCCAATCACTTATACATGTATGTGTTGTTACATTGCTCTCTTTGGATTATTGGTCGATTATTCTTTTTTTTTCCCATTTATTTATTTTATTGCATTTTAGGTTTTGGGGTACATGTGAAGAACATGCAAGATTGTTGCATAGGTACACACGTGGCAGTGTGATTTGCTGCCTTCCTCCCTATCACCTACATCTGGCATCTCTCCCCTTGCTATCTCTCCCCAGCTCCCCACCCCCCACATGGAAGACATCTGTATGTAAATGTGCCCTTTTATTGGAGGTGACACTTGCATTTCCTCTTCAAAAAACAAACAAACAAAAATCTGAATATGTAGTAGATTTGCAGAGGCCCTTGAACAAATACTGTAAATTCCAGTGTGTTTAAAGCAGCCCTCTTGGTTTGTTGAAAGGAAAAATCTTGGACTCAGCGCTTTGCTTTTTCTCTTGTAGTTTGTTTGTGATTAGAGTCTAGATACTTCGTACTTTACATATCAGCAACAGCTGTACACTGATGGTCCAAGGGAAACTTCCTCAAAATACCTTTGCTTCCAAAAGAAAATGGCCTTTATGAACTTTGGCAGGAATTGTACTCTTGAGCTATGTTAAATTTTAAAACTTGAATGGAAAAATCCACTACATGAAGCCAGCCACACAGGATCATGAGCCGGATCTATTGTTAGAATAAGAAGGAGGTGCCAACAGCTCACAGAGCTCTGGAGGCTCTCAGGGCTTATGTACACTGTATCCTGTGGGGGTCCTGAACAAGGCCACTTGGATGGGGGCCTAACCACAGCATTACACATGCTCAGGAAGAGTTAACGCTGGAAATTTACCACTTGGCAAAGCATCTTTACAAAACCAGAGTTTGGCTTTGTGGTAGTTTCTTTAGGTAACAGTTTCACAGTTTTTCAAAAATAACTTCATTTTACTCATTCACTCACTAAGTTAGAATGTTTCTATAATTTGAGAGTCTTTTACAGAGGTGGAAGGTTCTACCTCAGCCAGGTCCTGAGAGCAGTGCCTAACCATTCCATTCCTGTCACCTTTATAGGGTCAATGTATTGTGCTTTCACTATTGTCTGGGGTGGTGTGAGAGTCTCACTTTGCTTAGTTGTCAGTGCTGATGGCTGCTGAGAGCTGCTCAGCCAGCCACATGTGAATTGCAGTAGGTGGTTTACAGCCTTCTGTCCCAGTTTCAGTCAAAGGTGCTACAAGAATATCTGTCTCCATGAGTAGTTATTTCTCAGTACTTCAGTATTATGCTAAGTTACTTCACCACAGCTGGGCAAAGCCTTCTATTTTCATGGCAAGATACTTCTGCAGGATATGAAGCTGCCCTAGCATGCCAGGGCTAGGATGAATATTTGTGTCTGCCACTCTTCAAGCTACCACAGATTCTGCATTAATTAGAGAAGGGTCACTTTAGCCTGAGGGTGCTGTTCGTGAGCCAGAAAGTTCTCACAGAAGCCAGAAGGTGTCTCTGAAAATCTTGTCTAGAGCTTTCGTAATAGCCATTTTCGAAAGGTCTGTGTCCTAATGGGCTTGCATCACTCTTACTCAGTGACTCTTACTTTTTCACAAAAACTATTGGTTTCAGAAAATTGGACAGGAACAGATTTTAGTGTCCTCTATCTCATGATACCAGAAATTTGATAATTCTTTCCTGCACTCAATCTGGTGCCAGCCAATGTAGTTCCTTTGCCTCGTTTCTCTACCTCATGGTGATTTATTTTTCCCAGAGCCTTTTTTTTCCTTTCCATGTCACTTGGCCTGAACTGGAGCTACTCTAGTCACGATGATAGATCTCCCAAAGTCTAAATATCAGGAAGAAGAGGTCAGAGAGGTTACTTGAGATTCTACTTCCTGGTAGGCATGTAGGTTTGTGAAAAATCCCTCCTTTTCCATATTTGAACTCCACATGGGAAGAGAAATGCTGGCTCTATAAGTCAGACTAAAGGCCCTATTGCATCATTTCTATTAGACAGGACTTAACCAAGAGCCACTCAGAGGTTCAAGGTGACCCACCTCTGGCAGTTCCTTCAGGAAAAAAGAGGGAAAAAAGCTTTAAATTGTTTAGGTATAGGACACACAGCAATATACAAAGGTGTGCTATGATTTTTCATGAAAAATAAAAAGGTTGATCTGGTCTCAATATTTCTTTATATTGAAGACTAGTACTAGGTCTGTTGAGAAATATAAACTTTTCTTCAGACAAGGTCTAAAAATAGAACAAAATCTTATTAGTCTAGACGAATTTTAGCAAGGTTCTGTTATAAGGCAAGTGAATGAAGGGAAAGTAACTTCTGGGCCATTGAAATCAAGTGTTTTGTCTGCTTTTTAAAAGACCAGCCATTCGTTGCTTAGGCATGGGTTCTAAATCAGAAGACGTCAAAAAGTGAGCTATCAGGATTTGGGTTCTGCTGCAAATATTGCAGCCATATTGGGTCAGCAGCAAACATTTCAATATGAATAAGTCCTCCATAAGTTTATGGGAAAAGTTTAAGTTCTGAACAACTGTAATCACCTCATAATTTATATACAGGTCTAATAAAATGAATCAGTTGCCAGGTGTTCTCATGTATTCTGAGTTTAATTATGTTGAGGTTATTACACAAAGTTACTGTTTGTTTTTATTTGGCAGCCTCCACCTCAGATATACGACAAGCAGTTGGATGAAAGAGAGCACACAATAGAAGAATGGAAAGGTAACTCAAAAAGTAGAGTTTTTGCTTTATTGAACTCAGAAAGTATCATCAAGGCTTTTCTTTGTAAAACAATGTACTAAAAGATGATTGGCTGACTGCTATTCTCTTAGACCATTTTTAAATTCCTAAAACTTCATCTGTCTTTTTATGCTAAAAGCAATGTTGTATTTGCTCAAGAATGAAAGGAATTTACCATTGGTACCTTTTAAAATGGGACTGATTGTCAGTGTTTTTCATGGTGGGGGCAAGCTTTAGTTCAGAATTCCAGAATAAAATTTTCCATGTTTGTATATAAAATCATCATTTGACACATGAAATTAATTCTGAGATGGGTTTAGACTTTAGAAAATAAAAGATAGTTAATATATGGGTTTACTCATTGGATTGATAGGACTTGAGAATTTAAATAGAAAATATCTGTATCTGAGTAGCTTATTTTTTCTTTAACATAAAAATTAGAATGAACAAATGCATTAATTGATTTTGCAGCAAAACTTTTCCAAACACATACTGCATCTTTAAGATTATACTCAGAGTAAAACAAAGCAGAAAAACAATTGACCTAAAAAGAATTGTTAAACTAATCTAAATCACTACGGAATAGAATAAAGATGAGAAAGTCAAATGCAAATTGTAACAAATGATCAGATCAAAATGGGAAGAGCTGAAGGAAAGGAACTCTTGAGCTACCTTGAAGGAATTAGTAAGTGTAATTCAGAAAAGAAAAAAAATAAGAAAATATCAGATAAAGGACTAAGAGGAAAACAAAGGATAGGAATAAGCAGAAAATGTTGTAAAGATATTAAAGAGGAACAGGTGCACTGGCTCATGCCTATAATCCCAGCAGTTTGGGAGGCCGAGAGAGGGGGATCGCTTGAGCCCAGGAGTTGAGGATCAACCTGGGAAACATAGTGAGACCCTGTCTCTACCAAAAACATACAAAAATTAGCTGGACGTAGTGGTACACACCTGTGGTCCCAGCTACTCCAGAGGCTGAGGTGGGAGGATCACTTGAGTCCAGGAAGTGGAGGCTGCAGTGAGCCATGGTTGTGCCATTGAACTCCAGCCTAGGTGACAGAGAAAGTATCTGTCTCTCTGTCTCTCTCTCTCTCTCTCTCTCTCTCTCTATATATATATATATATATATGTGTGTGTGTGTGTGTGTGTGTGTATATATATAAAATAAAGTAAAATAAAAAATAAATAAAATTTTAAAAAATGCCAAAGAGATTCTACTGGTCCAGGATCATGTTGGTTAATATGGAAAAATGAACATATGCAAAAAGTGGATCACGTGAAAAAAGATGCTGTATATAGATGAAGAAAGCTTGCTTTGATCTAAGAAGGGACAGGAAGGCACTCCTTAGGGGCTCATGAATAGGTGGGTGGTAGGATATTACCACCATTTGGGGAGGACATGGACTAAATTGTGAGAAATTGGAGAAAGATGTACCTGTAAAGAATGATAATTATACAGATTATAAGCCATTGCAAAGCAAGAATGAGTAAGGCTGAGTGATTTTTAGCTAAAGGAGACAGAGTAAAAAGAACTGAAACTATCCAATTTAACTCTATCATTCAGAAAGCCAAATATGGATGCAAGTCTGAGAGTAAATGAACTAAATTTTTTAATGTGTTTGGTTTTGGGCAAGTTTAGATTTACAAATCCAAGATATGAGTATGGAAAAAAAGATGCAGTAAGAGATGGAAGTTGTAAGGATTGGTAATAATTTAAAGTCATAGCAGTCTCACAGGAAGTGAGTATAAAAGAAAAATGGATATTCAAAACTAAAGCCATAAAAATTGTTACTAGATGAAGCTAGAATGTATTAGTAGTACCCCCAAAGAATTCAGAAAACAAGTAAAACGTGTATTACTTTTTTCGTGTATGTAGAAATGTTTCATGTATGTAGAAATAAATGTTATTTATGTAGAAATATATGTATGAATAAATAATATGTATGTATGAAGAAATAAATAGTATGTTTCATGTATGTAGAAATAAATTTTTATACATTTATTTATTCAGCTGCTGTATTGGATACCTATTTGTTCCAGGCTCTCTGCTAATTATAAGGGAATATAGAAATTAAAATAGAGCAGTAAATGAATCTCAATTGATTTTTAGTTTACTCAACCCCATGAAAATGTTATTATTTCCCATTAACTAATGAATTTCCCTGTGGATTAAGGAGAAATTTGTTTTTTATAATAACACAGATAACTATTTCTTACAGAACTTATCTACAAGGAAGTAATGAACTCGGAAGAAAAGACTAAAAATGGTGTAGTAAAAGGACAGCCTTCTCCTTCAGGTACTCAGTCTCCGTGAATAACCAATAAACTAGTACTTGTGTAATTTCTTGGCCTTTGTGTAGGGTTGCAACAAATAACATTGCTTAAAGAGCAGATGGACAAATATCACACAGCTGTTTCCTTATAATGATTTTAGTTTTATTTCTTTTGATATTAAGTGTGACATTCATTCTGATTATTCTGCTTGTAATGATCCAACATGAAAACTTTTTCATAAATTATTTTAAGACAGTAATGAATCCTGAAGAAAATGTTAACATGGGCTAGTTAAAGGGTAAACGCTCCTCATCAAAATTCAGAGCCATAATGCCCTTTTGACCATCAAGTCAATGTAGAGGTCAGGGATCCTTTCAGCCACAACCTCTTCCCTCATTCATTCTTAGTGTTTGAATTCTTCTCAAGGTCAGAGTGACAATGAAACATCTACCAAGATGGGCTCCAGTTAAAGTCAACTTGGAAAATCTGTTGTTTGCTAGCTACAGAATCTAATGTACAATTGTACATATGTATTTTCTACCGATCCTAGTAATGTGCTTTAACATTACTTGAGATGATTTACTTATTAATGCTAATATATTTTTTCCTGAGGCCTATGCTCTCACTATAATTTAGAAAATGTGATTATTTATTTTCTGCTTTAAGAAAAAATTACATTTAGTTCATGCTACCCAAAATGTGGGCTACAAATGCCTAGTTTTGAGAAAGACTGATTAGGGTGTTGTTTTCCTAAACTATTTTAGGAAAAAAAGATGTAGGATGAAATAATTAATCAATTATTCATACTGATACTACTCTTTGATTAACTAATTTATACCCCAAACCACTGTGATACCCAAACAGATGCAATTCAGTATGACATGCTTTTCTCACCAGTAGACTTGAAAATATACTCAGTTTTATCCCAAGTCTTTCCTTTCCTCAAAGAGGGTTAAGGGAATCATTGGAGTTGTTTTCCATGCTGCCCTCCTTACTCATTCACCCTAGCATACAGATTGACACAGTCCATGAAAGCTACTACTAACTAATCTGCATGTTTGGCCTGTTGCTCATTAAAAAACTCAAAGACAGAATTCAAAAGCCTCAAGATGACACCTGCTAACGCAGGACAGTGCTTTGTTTTAAGAATTCCTGTAATGACCAGAACATATTATCTTATATTCATTAAGCAGCAGAAATATCAGAATTTAGCCATGGGTGACCTAGCATGTTAGGCTGGGCCTGGACAAATTTTAGTAGAACCTATTCTATCCATCTTCAGTTCAAGTTTCCTTTTCATATCACCTTATCCCAAAAGACTTGTTACATCTTCCCAAAGATTAGGATCTTTCCTTTCTATAGGTCCTACTAGTCCCTGTATGTTGAACAGTTGACCTCTTGCCTTATTATCTCTTATTGATTGTAATTTCATTGAGGAGACTGTATGCATTTATCTCTGTGTCCCATGTAGTGCCTGGGTACTGTGCTTTGCACAGTAGTAGCTCAATAGATATTTATTAATTTGAAAATTGCCATTCAATTTCTCCCTCACCATATTTCTTGATACTATTCCAAATACAGAATTCGAGATAAGATCATGTAACTTTAATACAGTATACTATTCAGCATGTTCTTACACCATTATTATACATATTTATTCACTCTATTAATCTCCATGAGGATAAACAGGCCAAGCATAAAGTATATAAATTCTTGCTATTGGCTTTCTTTCATGCTTCACCTAAAGGTTTGCAACTTTCAGATGTTTGATTCATTCATTTTGGGAAATACATATTCATTATTTTTTTGCAGTCCTGCTTGTTAATGATTAATTCTAAAATATGCAACTTAGGCTCTACCTAAGTAAGAAGGCTCTGCCACTTTTTAATCATTCCCACTACCTTAACAGTTAAAAATTGTCTATGTAATACATACGCCCTAAACTATAGGTGACTGGCATAACCAATTTGGATTTAAAATGATTGTGGATTAAATCTAGAAAAAACATTCATGACTTTCTCTTTTGTGAGAAATCATATGTATACTACACATTACAGGACACATTTCTGTATGATATATTTGTGTGCATGATGGAGAGGCTGTAGGGCAGCCATATGCTGGTGCTGACTCTACCAGCTCATGACAGCCAATTGTGTACTTCTCTTCCCAACTATGCATTTACTGTTGGTGTGTTGGCAGCTCGAAATCAGCCACAGAGGATTTACAACATGGAAACTGGCAGACCTTACAAATCAGGGCGTTTTTGTTCCCCCCCTTCCCAGAGCCAATTGTTAAATTTTTATTGGCGCACCACGGTGTGTGTGCTGTAAACTATGCTGGAAAGAAAAAGCAATTACTAAAGAAAAGTTTGAAAAGTCAGCTTTTTTGCGTTGTTCATTGTATTCACCTTTTTTCATTAAAGTTCATGTAGCACATTTTATTTTAAAAATAGCTAGGGTAAAGTGTTTTTATAATAGAGACTCTCTTAGTATTCAGTTATAGCAACACTGGGAATTCTGCAGCAGGGAATAAGTTAGTGCAGTATCTCAGGGGCAAAATACTTCTAATACTGAAACCTATGTTATGTGATGCTTTTTAAATGTAAATAGAAAGTTAAATGTGTATTTGCAGAAACATTTATAGGTTTGAAATTTGATGATGGAATTGTTGTATGTCAATAAGAGATAAATCTAAACTTCAGATGTATTTCTAAACAAATAATTGTACTCACTTCTGCTATCTGATTTTACTTGCACAGTAATTTATTTTCAAAGATGGCATAGCTGCTTGCTTCCTGAATTGATTTGTAACAATTGCTGAGGGGCTAGCAGTCCATGAATAGAAATTAATTTTCTTCTAAAAGCATTTGTTATAGGACATTAGAGCTAGAACAAATATAGGAAAACATCTGATTCACCAATTCTCAGATTCTTCACCAGCCCTTTTCCACCTGAGAAGCTCCCAAAACTAACAGTGACTCACTAAGATAAGGATGCTGAACATCAGAATGGGCAGAGATTTTTCAAAATCTCTAAATCAAAGATAAAGCTTCTGGGTGATTTTAACATGCAACTGTTCCCTCCCCAATGTGGACCACATTCCCCACCATGGGAATATGTCCTACGGTCACTAATCTAGTCCATTAATTTTATTTATGTTTTATTAAAAAATCTCAGGCCCAGACATACTGTGGCTCAAGATCATTTAGGTAAAAAAGGGACTATTTTTTTCAGTCTTGTGTTTTTTCTAATTCTATGTCTATCGTAGTATTTTGTTGTTGGGGGTGAGGGGTACCAGGAAAATAATTTCATTTAACAACAAAATAAAAAGCAGAACAACATTTTCCCCCACAAAATTTTTTGGTTAAATAAATTCTAGCTGAGAATTTTTCATTAGCATAAAGTTACTTATTCCTATGAAATCTAATTTTTTAGGTAAACTTGAAGGTAGTTAATATTCCTCATTTGCAACCTTATTTGCATTTTCAGTTCCTTTTAATACTATTTTTATTGACAGAAATTTGTAATGCTTTATTGATGGCAAAACATTTTTGAAAATGTATATCTCTACTGTTTTCTCTTAAGTAATATATAAGGAAGGAATATTTATCACATTGCCTGGACAAGTGAACACTATGATCAGATTCAATTCAGCTCAGTCCTGTTATGAGATGTTCACAAACTGCTTGGCAGTAATTTAACAACTTAAAGCCAAGGCCCATGTCTTGTCCCTTAAATTTGTGTTTGGGCTTATGGCTTATAAACCCTGCTTATTGCCTACATGAAAATAGATTTGAATGGATCATATAGTAAAGCCAGCAGTGGCTTCAGGCAAGGAGGCATTTATTATAGTGCAATAGAGGGAGTCATACAGAAGCAAATAGTTTTCATCTAATAGTGGTGGGCTGGTTAATATTTAACAATTATATTTTAATAAAGGAATTGATGAGTAGCGCTTAACATTTTCTGTGGTATAAATATTCTCACTGTGACCAATTTTAAGCAACAATGTAACCTCAACAGATGCAGAGTTGGAAAGAGATGCTAATAATTGGTTCTAAGAAGCCACTAAAAGCCAGCTCCAACACACCATAGACAGTGCACATTTTTCTCACACTATCACACTGTATAGCAAGGAACCATTCCCATCAAACAAGCAGATGTCATGGGTATTTTCACAAAGAAAGCACTGGAAGAGAAGACCTCTCTTAATGAATTAGTGCTGTATAAAAGCAGAAGCAGTAGTCTGTGGAACCCTAGAAATACAGCTGATTAACACTTTGATAGATTCTGAACTTTGAATAGTTGAACACTAATTATAATGTGCATTCAACATTGATCAAATAGAGAGCAGGACCATTCTAGTACAAGAGATGGAAATTAGAGAGAACCCAAATGATGAACAGAAGGAGAAGAAAAACAACTACAACAACGTGATTTCCTTTGGCCAAAAATAGCTTAACAGTTTCACTAGTTCAAAAGCAGGAAGGAACTTGCTTTTCCTCACAGAACCTATCTAGAAGAGTACACATAAAGGATACTCAATGCTGTTTTGTTAACTCGAGTACTTATTCTATGTTACTACTCAGCAGCAGACATTGTGGAAAACAGAAATAAAGAAGTATAATTAATGAAGTAAAAAGAAGCAGGGGAAATATATAATTGAGGTAATCTGTAACAAAACTGCATATAATGAGGGGCTGACTGGTGTGGCATAACACTCAGAATATTCCAGAAGTGTGCTGAAAATATGCTGATTTTGAAAGCAAGTGCAGCAGGCGTGCTGTGTGTTTTATAAGCATAGCCTGCATCATGATCCCCTGTTTATGAAGAGCTTATTAAAAGTTACTCTGGCTTTTGCTACATTCATTCAATGTTATTCATAGAAATAAATTAGTGTTTTGCTGCTGGGGAAATTTCTTCAGACTCTTTGTGTAATTTCTCTAGCTGCCATTGTTGTAGATGTGTGTTTATTTGTAAACATCAAATTATGTTCTTATAAGGGAACTTTATTTCAGCTAAGC